AAGAAACACGTGCTGCTGAAACAGCCAGATCTGCGCTGACTCCGGAGGACTATGAATCAACCGCCGCTCGCCTGTATGAGACTCAACAGCAACTGCATGAACGGGCTCAGGACGTTGTCACTGACATTCGCGCGATTCCCAATGGAGACCGCAAATTCGCCAAAGAGATCAGCATCATCACGGCCGCCGCTGCCGCCATGCAGGATGCCGCGAACCTGCTGTCAGCACCGACCACGGACGCCGACGTGATCGCGGCTGAAACAGAAGTCATCGAATTGCTGCTGCAGGCGAAGCGCTGTAACCCCAAAGGTGGAGGCGGAGGAGGAGCATCACCCGGCGGAGGTGGAGGAGGCGACACGGACACCGTTGCACTCGCTTTGCACGGTGCCGGCTCCGATCCCAACGCACACATTGAATCCCGCGACATCAAACAGTCCACCGGGACCACCCAAAGCGAACTGCCGGCCGAGTTCCGTGATGGACTGGAACAGTTCTTTCATGCCGTGGAAATCGGCAACTGATCTCATGCAGCAAGAGAGCCGGTTTTTAAGACTGCCCGAAGCCGCACAGACTCAATTCAGTCGCGGCTGCCGTGGCACATTCCAGGGGGCTTCTGCAATTCGCCGTTTGTTCTTACCAGCCGTTATACTGCTGACGATTGTCGCGACTCAGGCCGTGTCACCCGTTGCCGCTCAGGATCCACAGCTGCGATTCGGGACACAGGTCCCCACAGAAGTGGAAGCGATCTACAGCCGGGGACTCGCATGGCTCACGGATAACCAGACCGAAGAGGGCAACTGGCCCGGCAGTCACAGCGGCCACGGCGTTGGTGACACCGGTATCTGCGGCATGGCTGTGATGGCATTCCTGGCCAGTGGGGAAGATCCGAATTTCGGGCGTTACAGTGAGAACATTCGCCGGACCGTTCGCTACATGATTCGCCAGCAGAAAGCATCCACCGGTTATCTGCCCGGCAGCATGTACCAGCACGGCTTTGCCATGCTGGGGCTGGCGGAAGCCTACGGAGCCGTGGATGAGCAATTGTTATGGGAAGGAAGCAACCAGCCCGGACAGCGTTCGATCGGCGAAGCACTGGAACTTGCAGTTCGCTGCGCCGTGACCTCTCAAACCAAAAACTCCTGGGGCGGATGGCGTTACACGCCGGATTCCACTGACGCCGACACGTCCGTTTCCGGAGCGGTTCTCATGGGACTGCTGGCCGCACGCAATGCAGGCATCCGCGTGCCGGACACCTGCATTGATAAAGCTCTGGGCTACTTTCAGAAGATGACGTCAGAGCAGGGCGGCGTCGGCTACTCCGGTGGCGTCGGCGGGCTGGGTGGATCGAAGAACCTTCAGGCCATCTGCGCCCTTGTGTTGTCGATCGGGCGGCGCACGGACCTGAAGGAATTTCAGGGCGTCTCCGCTGAGGTTGTCAAAAATATCGAACATCGCGAATCCAGTTATCCATTCTACTTTCGCTACTACATGGCCCAGGCGCTGTTTCAGTCCGATTTCGAAGCATGGCAGCGCTGGAATACCAGGACCATGCGACAGTTGGAGTCCATGCAGAGCGAAGACGGAAGCTTTCAAAGCGGTCATGGTCGAGCCTACGGGACGTCGATGTCGCTGCTTGCGCTCGCACTTAACTACCGCTTTCTGCCCATCTATGAACGCTGATTTTTGCACGGTCCGTCGGGACCAGCCTGTCAGGCCACAGCACACAGCCGGGGCCTGTCGCTTTTTGCTGCTCGTCCTGCTGCTGACGATGCTGCTGATCGATGCACGCGCTGCAGAATCCAATGCTGTCCTTCACTGGAATTCCGGAGACTCCCTGCCCGGTCGTCTGCAGCAGGTCACCAGTGACGAGGTGACCTGGGAGTCCGGACTGTTTGCTGACCCGCTGCAGCTGCAACGAGCTGTCCTGTCGTCGGTTCAGTTTGCGCCGGATGATGCTTACGGTGCCGAATCCGACGAGTTCCGTATCGCACTCACCACAAAGGATGTCCTGTTTGGTTCACTCAGCTCATTGGACGACCAGTCGCTGGTTCTCGAAAGCAGCCGGCACGGGCGAGTTGTCGTTCCGCGTGCGCTGGTCGCCGGTGTCGAGCGGATCAATCAGGAAGGCCTGATCTATCTGGGGCCGGCAGGGATCGATGGCTGGTCAGGACCTGGCATTGAAACCTGGTGGGTGGAGCAGACTGACGGCTCACTCACGTCCGGTATCCCGGACGCATCACTGTCGCGCGAACTGCCTGATGAACAGCAACTGTCCATCGAATTCATCCTGAAATTCAATCAGCGTCCCGAGTTTGTGCTGGCACTCGGCGACGACGACGAAGGCAGCCTGCGTCTGGAAACCTGGGATGATGCGCTCGTTGCGGTCAATGGAGCCGACTTTCTGGAAGTGCAGCTGCTGGAGGACGAACCGTCTACCATCCACCTGCTGCTGTACGTCAACCTGAGCTCCAGCCGGATGATGGTGTGCACGCCACAGGGAGAGGTCCTGGCAAAACTGGGAGAAGTGAAGCCCCGGCGGGTTCCCAAAACGCTCTCTCTCCAGAACGGCAGCGACAACATCACCCTGCAGCATCTGCGTGTCCATCGCTGGAATGGCACAACGGTCGGCAGTCTTGTTCCCGGTCAAACGGGGCTGCAGCAGATTGACGGCCAGGTTCGTTACGGACAGGTCACATCAATCCGTGAGGGGCAGGTCTATCTGGAGCAGGAAGACGGCACGGATCAGATTCCCCTGACCGAAATCGGTTCTCTGGAAGTTTCAGAACAATCCGCCTCTGAATCACCAACGCCGGAGAACGTAACGGTTCGCCTGAAATGGCGTGATGGAGGCATGCTGCAGGGAAACATGCTTCAGCTCACTCCCACAGGCGCATCCATTCAGCCAACATGGTCCGCGGAAAGCATTCAGGCTGATCAGCAGGGAATCCAGCTGATTGAGTTCACTGATGGGTCAGAGACAGCGCCTGGCCCTGACGAACTGATCATGGGAGGACGACTGCTGCACGGACATCTGGTCGTTGACGCCGGCACACCCCCTGTCACCTGGAAACCCACAGGCGCTGTCACGGGAGTGGCACTGCAGTCCGGTGATAATGCCGTCGTCAAACGCAGCTCCCAAACAATGCCGGTCACCATCGATTCTGAAAAATATCCGGACACCATCTACCTGCGCAATAACGATATCATCCCATGTCGCCTGCAAAGAATCGCGGAGAATGCCGTTCACCTGACGTCCCCCTTTGCCACCGCCACACAATTCCCTGCCGTCGACATCACTGCCATCGAACTGTCAGCCACACGGCACGGCAGCACAGAAGGTTTCGCGGATGAACAGTGGAAGCGGATCAACGGGGGAGTGATCATCAAAGACGGTTCGGTCGCGTTGAGTTCCGGACGCTTTGGCAACGCCCACGGCATGATCAGTGACCGCCTGGGTTTTCATGCGGAGTGGCCCTCACAGCAGTTCATGTTTCTGACGATCTACCTTTTCACAGCCAGCCTGAACGACCGGGACACCGCGACTAAATGCACACTTTTGTTCAGTGAGAACAACATTCTGGTCAGTGAGCATTTTGATCACAACAACCCGTTTGCGGCCATGCAAAATCCGGAAGGGCGCATCCAGACGAAGGGACTCAGCGCTGACATTCAGCTGATCACCAGCAAAGGGGAGCTGGAGGTTCAGGTGGATGGCAAGCCTGCCAGACGAATCCCGCTGAAACGGGAAAGTGTGGGCAACTCGGGAGTCGTCTTCGAACTGTCAAATTCCGGCAACGGCCGCTTCTTTGGAGGCGGGATTCGGCGTCTCGGGGGTGGCCGGGCGGGGAGTGACTCCAACCTCGTGAAGCGACTGACGCTGTCCGGACTGACGGCCGGTCCGCCCAGCGGAGCCGCGATTCAGAAGTTCATTGAAGAGGAGACTCGACGTCACACGCTGACAATTCCCCGCTTCCGCCGCGACGACCCGCCCACTCATGCCCTGATTGCTCCCAATGGTGACGTGCTGCGAGGGCGACTGATTGGAATTCATGCCGACTCGGTGGAGTTTGAATCAAGGCTGGAAGTCTTTCGATTTCCTCGGGAACGAGTTTCTGCTGTCATCTGGATCAGCAATCCTCCCGGACCGCAGACAGCGAATCATGCCACCGACGAAGCGGATCAGCCGGCCTCCGATTCGACAATACTGCAGACGGTGCTGGCAGGCGGATTTCTGGTATCAATGACACCCGTCAGCATGATCGACGGAAAGCTGCACGGAGAGTCTGCTGTACTGGGGAACTGCAGGGTTCCGGCCACAGCCATTTCCCAGCTGTATCTCGGTGACCCCGCTGAACGCGAACAGACATCCGCGTGGAGCCAGTGGCGTGCGAAGCATGCCGTGGAACCGGACTGGGACATCGCCAAATCTGACGGCGGCAGTTCCGCCGGATCGGAACTCATCGGCCACGCCGCACCGGACTTTGAACTGCCTCAGCTGGACGGGAAGACATTTCGCCTGTCTGACTACGCTGGCCGAACAGTTGTCCTGGACTTTTGGGCCACATGGTGTGGCCCCTGTGTCGCAGCGTTGCCGGACTATATCGAAGCGACGAAATTCTTTGATGATTCCGAACTCGTCTTTGTCGCCGTGAACATCGAAGAATCACCCCGACAGATTCGCGCATTTCTGGAGGAACAGGAACTGAACGTTCGAGTGGCCATCGACGGGGGCTCTGAAGTGGCCTCTGCCTACCAGGTCAACGGAATTCCGCATTCTGTCATCATCAGTCCGGAAGGCATCATCGAATGGGTGCACGTCGGCTACGACCCGGACGCCGGCGCTGAAGTGCAGCGCGTTGCTGAAGCGATTCTGTCCGGCAGCTGGAACCGCGAGTCCGAACCCGCCGACACTTCCGCAACTCAGGAATAGCAGTTGACCACTGGAAGCGATCCTGGAAACAGCCGGGCCTGGTGGAGCGTCTAAACCCGTCGGCTTGTGCGGCATCGGCATGCTGCAGGCTCTCCTGATCCGGCGTCGGGATCTGCCGACTGATCCTTGCCTCCGGGGCCGACCAACAGGATAATCGCCAGCCGCCTTACTTCTCTCTCCCGTCTTTAAGACTACCCGTATGCGACACCTGACTGTATCCACCCTGGTGATCCTCATGTCTGCCGCCGTTTCCGCTGAAGACGTGCCCGTTCCGGAACCTTATGGAACCACGAAGTCAGGCGACGCCATCGAACTCTACACGCTCCGCAGCAGCAACGGCCTGGTGGCTCGAGTCATGACTTTTGGTGCAACACTGGTGGAACTGCACGTTCCGGATTCTGCAGGCACCACGGCTGACGTCATTCTGGGGTTTGACGATGTGGCCGGCTATCAGTCAGATGCCAACGGCTACTTCGGCTGTACGACCGGACGGGTCTGCAACCGCATCGCCAAAGGACAATTCAGCCTGAACGACAAAACCTACACACTGGCCATTAACAATGACCCCAACCACCTGCACGGCGGCATCAACCGCAGTCTCGACAAGGTGGTCTGGAAGGCCCGGCCATTCGCCGACAAGTCACAGACAGGAGTCACTTTTTCATACTACAGTCCGGACGGTGAAGAAGGCTATCCGGGTAACCTGCAGATTCAGGTAACTTATTCTGTGGCTGCCGACAGCAACTCTGTCACGATCAGTTACCTCGCCACCACCGACCAGGCCACTCCCGTGAACCTGACCAACCACGCCTATTTCAACCTTGGCGGGGCCGGCAGCAGGTCGGTACTGGACCATGTGCTGCAGCTGAACGCCGATCACTACACGCCGGTTGATGAGACGCTCATCCCGACTGGTGCGATCGAGGCCGTCGAAGGAACGCCGCTTGATTTCCGGACTCCGCATGTCATCGGAGCACGCATCGAGTCGCTGATTGACACGCCTGCACTCGGCTATGACCACAACTATGTGCTGAACAAATCATCAGCGAATGCAGCAGAGCCTGCCGCTGTCCTGACAGACCCGGATTCCGGGCGCCGGCTGCTGATCCGCACGACTGAACCTGGCATCCAGTTCTATTCCGGCAACTTTCTCAACGGCAGCAGTGGAAAAGGCGAACGAACTTATCCACTTCGAAGTGCGCTGTGTCTGGAAACTCAGCACTATCCGGACTCAGTCAATCAGCCGCAGTTCCCCAGTACGATCCTGAAGCCCGGAGACGAATTCCGGTCGACGACGATTCTGGAGTTCAGCACCACCAGGTGAGCGCCGGCAGGGCACTGACCACTACTGCCGCCAGGCGGGTGGATCTGTCGGCTGGGGCAGCGGCTGTGTGAAGCCGGCCGCATGGACGGGCACCGTGGAACGTGTCGATCGTGACCACTGCGACTGCTGAGCAACACGGGGCTGCTGCTGTCCTCCCGGACCCGACCATTGTGGCGGAGCGGCAGCCGCTGTTGTCTGACTCGACGCCATCCTGTACGGGTTCCCAGACGGTGGTGCGGATCGTACAGCCGACTGTCCGTTCCCGTCCGACATCCGGGCGACGCCTGCACTGTTCGGCTCAACAGACGGATGCGAAGCAGGTGACGCCGCAATGATCTGTGGCGGTGCCATGTCTCGCGACTGCCGCGAGGCGACTGCAGACTGGGGCACGCCATGACTGCGAAATCCTGGATCCGGCACCCGCATTTTTGCGAGCAGCTCTCCCGCCATTTGCCGTGTTCGTTCATCCGGATGCGACTGCAGAGCACGCTCAACCCAGTTCACAGCCTCTTCAGTATTGCCCCGCTCATTCAGCAGGTAGGCCACGTTGTAGCAGGCGGCCGAATCACCAACCGCATACTTAAGATGAGCGAGCCCCGGTCCGATCCGCCCGGAATTGACGAGCGCCAGTCCCAGTTCATATCGCACGGTCTGGTCGTCGGGCGCAAGGTCGGAGGCCTCACTGAAGGCCCGCACCGCAGCATCCCACTCTTTCCGATCGTTGTACATCCGGCCCATTTCCAGAGCGACGGACGGATTGTTCGGATGCTGCTCACGAGCAGCTTCCAGAATTTCACGACACTGCGTGTAACGGCCCGTCTCCCGTTCGATTCTGGCAATTCCCATCCGAGCGGGCAGACAGTCAGGATTCGCAGTGAGGATTTCATGGTACCGACGCTTGGCTTCGGCGAACTGATCCATGTCTTCCTTCCAGCGTGCGAACGCCAGATTGGTCCCCTCCGGGTTCTTCAGACCTTTCTTCGTCAGTCCGCCGCGAGACTTCTGGAACCCTTCCGAAAGGGCTTCATCGTTCAGAACCAGTGCATCTGTCTCGGCTTTGCGCCTGCTGAATCGGCTGGTCAACCCCGTCCAGGACTGACTCGTGCCGCAGCCCACAGCGAATGAACAGAGCAGAAGTCCCGTAATGACTGAATATCGAGTCATGGTAGCGATCCTTTGCGGATTCCCGCCTTCAGCAGGAGCCCTGCAGTCGGAAAGTTCATCTCAACAAAAAAGATGAAGTCACTTCATGAATCGTCGTGACGGTTGGTCCGCCACAGGGGAATCTGCCACCTGAGTCGAATTTATGGTAAGAGTGTGTCGATCGAATTATGACGGCGGGCCGCCACACACCCACTTCGGCAGAATCTGCCGACAGGGACTTCAGGCTGTCCCCCGTATGCCCCGGATCCACTGGCCACACAAACCGCGCCAACCCACTCCTGCTGTCGTGCTTTTTCTGCTGCTGGCAGCACTCCTTTCGTGGCGACTGCGTTCACATGTCGCGCAGCCAGCCTCCGCCCCCGCAACGCAGGACGCTGCCGTGGTTGTCCGAGTCATCGACGGTGACACAGTGGAGCTGAATGACGGCCGCCGAGTGCGACTGCTGGGAGTGGACGCCCCGGAACTGAGCAGAGACGAAAGGCCAGCGCAGGATGGCGCGGAAGAGTCGCGCGACTGGCTGCGACAACGTCTTGAAGGAAAAACGGTGCTGCTGAGGTACAGCAGCGAGCGCCTGGATCGATACGGAAGAACGCTGGCGTGGGTGTTTACAGACGACGGAGTGCTGATCAACCGCCAGCTGCTGGCGGCAGGGCAGGCCCGTATTGTCACTCGATTCGGACTGCCGGCAGATCTCTCTTCCCGGCTGCACGAGGCAACCGCCCGCGCACAGGCCCGGCGTCTTGGCATCTGGAAATAAATGCCCGCTCAGGCGGACTTCCTGCGTCGTGGTCGCCGAATACCGGCCAGTCGAGCTGTGTCACGGATTCGAGGGGAATTCCACAGAACGGTTTCCACCAGTTCGCTGGCTTTCACACGGTGCTGCCGCACGGTCTGCAGAACCCTCACCAGATCGGGTGACAGTTTAAGCTGAATGCGGACGACCGACTGGGGCCCCGCTTTCGTCTGCCTGGACTGCGTTTCTGCAGACTGATGAACGGACGGCCGCTCATCAACAGGTTCGCATTGGCTGTGGTGACAGCCCGCAATCAGCTCCTGCACCGCCTGCAGCAGCTCATTGAGGTCCTGCTCCAGAGTGGCCTCAGAACCGTCCTCCGCATCTGACTCAGCACAGAATCGGTCGTCAATTCTGTGTTCCAGCTCATCCAGCATCTGCCGAATCTGACTCACCGCCGGAACGCGAACCGCCTTCAGAGCCGGCACAGCCTCTCCTGCCACCATGGAGGCTGAAAACGCGGACGTCACAGGACTGTTCGAGTGCTGGGCAGGACTTTGCATAAATCACTCGTGCCTCATCAGAAGACCGATTGAACGAACTGATTCAACCGGGAAAGCAACACGCGATTGAGTCGAACACTCGGCCGGCCGGGCAGGAAAACCATGTAGTACATCGTGCGGCTCCAGGATGTCTTCATCGGCCCGCTCAGGTCGGACGCCTGGTACTCAACCGGCAGATTTCGCCATTGCGGGCGAGCACCGGCGGACCCTGCGGAATCTAAGGGATAAACCAGGGGCCGAATGTTCCCGGAAGCACGGATCCTGAGAACAATTCAATCTTGACGAGATTTCACTAAAGCTGGAGATTTCGGATGTGCACAGGGTTCCGGCAGAGACGCCATCGACTGACCTGTGTTTCGCTCCGGGTCTTTCCGGAAACATCAGCAATGGAGAGCTGAAATGAGCCGGCTGGGCAAATGGAGTGCGGGGCTGCTGATTGGCTGCTATCTGTCGGTACTGGCTGCCGGAATCGTAGCGCACGCCCTGAAGGTGGGGATCAACGGCAACACGCTGAGCTACTACTTCGTCTGGGATATGTTCTGCGGCTGGCAGGCCTATGACCAGCGGACGCATCTCATCGCGGAATCCAGCTCCGGACGTTACTATGAAGTCCGTGAACCGTGGGGCGAATTTCAGCCGTTCAGCAACCTCGGACGGTACCAGTACGATGTTTTTAGCCACATGATGTCCAAACAGATCAACCACATCCTCACTCACACATCCCACGAACCGATTGACAGCGTCTATGTCGTGCAGGAAGTCTGGCCGAAGCAGTACAACCTGCCGGAATCACTCTGGGAAGAACACTTCGGTGGGGAGCGTGACAGGCTTTCCTACTTCCACCTGCGAGCTGTCTGCAGAGATGACGGCACACTGGTGACTCTGCATCACGACTGGACGAACCAGCAGCGACTCAATGCCGTCGCGGACAATCCACGTCTGCGTCAGGAAGCCCGGCAGGCACAATCCAGCTTTGGCTCCTGGTACACTCCAAAGCTGCATTCATCAGGACAGGAACGTCACGAGTCGGTGATGGCAATGCCTGCCACCAACTGACCTGTCCGAGACCCCACGAACTCGGCCGTCTGCTGCTACACAGACACTGTTTAACCACGAAAGCCCGGTGAGGATTCAAGGATGAATCGTCCACAGCAGTCGCCTCCCACCCTGCGAGCATCACTCGACAGATTCTTCTTTGAGGAACAGGTTCCGTTCGGAGCTGCTCTGACTCGCATGTTTCTGCCTGTGATGGCGATGCTGCCGATGCTCATGCGCTTCCCGCGCGTCCGCGAACTGTACTCCACAGACGGTACTCCGGTGCAGATGTTTGAGCTGTACGGTAATGGACCGGTCCTCCCGATCCTGCCGCCAGGAGCAGCCACCATGCTGTACTCACTGATGGTCTTCTGCCTGTTCTGCGGTGTCATCGGCTGGAGAACCCGCACGTCGCTGGCCGTCGGCACAATCCTGTACACCTACTTCAACCTGCTGGATGGCGTGGGCACCATGACGAAGTACAGCGTCATTGCCAATCACCTCCTGGTCCTGCTGACTGTTTCCTCCTGTGGCAAACTGTGGTCAGTGGATGAGTGGCTGAGGAAGCGACGGACCGGTGAAGTCACATCGCTGCCTCGCGCGTATCCTGTGTGGCCGGTGAGGCTGATGCAATTGCTGTTCGCCTTCATTTACTTCGGTGCCGCCATCACCAAGATTCAGACAGAAGCCTTCTTCAGTGGGGAGCAGATGCGTTCGTGGATGCTCAGCAACTGGAATTACGAGAATCCAGTGGGCGAACTGGTTGCCATGTGGTCACCGGTCCTGCTGGTGAGTGCCTACATTACGGTTGTTTGGGAGATTCTGTTCGGTTTCCTTGTCTGGAATCCTCGCCTGCGTCTGGTGATGCTGGGCGTCGGAGCAGCATTTCACTTTGGCACCTGGCTGCTGCTGGGTCTGTATATCTTTCCTGCCATCTGCCTGTCCGGATACCTGTGTTTTACCCAACCACAGGATGTCCTGCGCGTGCGACGCTGGTTCCGATCCCTGAAGTTCACGTCCCCTCTGCGAGGTCGCATTCGCATTCCAGTGCCCGCGCTGCTGCCCGCCGGGATGGTCTGGGCGATCTGCGGCGGCCTCTTTGCACTCACGGCCCTCGAAGCAGAAGTTCGCTCCGACCTCTACGGAATGAACAGCGATTCCGGCCCGCTGCCGCTCCAGGAAATAGACCGCGCTCAGGCCATGCACATGATCGGATCCGAGACACCACTGCGGGAAAAGGACAAGTTCTTTTCGTTTCACCTGGGAAGTCTTGCCATCGGAGGACAACTGGCGAATCGCCGGGAAGACTTTGAATACGGCGAGACGCTGCTGGCCGAGTGCAATCTGAATCCCCCTCATGAAGACATGTGGGTCGAATGTGTGCTGGAAGACGCCGACCACCATGCCATCGACACCGTCGGCCAGGTGCTCACCCGAGAAATGCTGCGAGGACAGTTCATCTACCGACTCGGCAACCGATTGTCTCCAGGCAGCTACTTCATGGTACTGCGCAGTGCCGGACAGGAAATCAGCCGCCGTTCGTTCACTCTGTCGGGTGAACCATGCCAACTCGAACCCGGCGTGTTCGGCAACTAGCGGTCGGTTGCTCGCTGAATACTTCGAAGCAAAGTCGTGGCAAATCCGCCGGCCACGAACGGTTCCCATTGCAGCCCTGAGCATCCTGGCTCACAGCTAACGTCCTTGGCTCATGTCCCCCAACCGGCTGTTTCCGGCAGGCAACAGGATTGATTTCCGTATTCGCAGTGACGGAATCCCCAACTGTCCAAACTCGGATACCCAGTCCCAACGATACCTCGCAGTGACCTGCAGCAGCGTTGTTAAGCTCCGTACTCCAGGCCAACTGTTCCTTGAATGCCTAAAATGCGGACCAGGAAACGACAAAAAACTGTGTGAGGCATGCAACCCCTACAGTCGGCAGCCCTGGTGATTTGGGGGGTCGACACGTGTTCGCTGGTTCAAATGTCGATAGGTCAGTGAACAATTGCCGAATCGAACGCCGCTGCAGCCAAGAGTTTAGCTAATCTGATCAGTGATCGTTCTCACCATCCCCACGGGAGTGGCAGGAACGTTCGCCGGCAGACTCCGCAGACTCTGAGCAATCCCTGCTGTCGGCAAAAAACCGGGGCCCTTCATGTCCGCGCGCCTTCCTTCTGCCTGCTCACCACCACGTCTCAGACGCTCAGCGTTTGGCCTGATGCTGATGATGTCGGCAGCTGTGAGTGTCGCGCAGACTGACGTTGGTCCTCCTCCGGTCCCGCAGGCAGACGTGGAATCACACCGGATCGATGCACTCCCATCAACGGATCCCGGCTACTGGATTGTCTCCACCCACGAATCACCTCAGTCGTTCGACCGCGAGTGTCCACAGTTCCGACCCTGCGTCACAAGATTCAACTGCGGATGCGGCTGTCACCCGCGTTGCGCACGCTTCTCCACGATGTGCCAGTCCCTGCAGCCGGGTGTCCCGATCTGCATCTACGTACATGGCAGTTTTGTCTCCACGGATGATGTCGCCTATCAGGCCGCATCCACCTATCGCTGGCTGCAGTCAGCCTCCTGCGGCAATCCGGTCCATGTCATCAACTTTACCTGGCCCAGCTCCCGACCGATCCTGATTGCGACGGTCAGCTGTGATGTCAACCTGCTGGGACGGCGTGCCGCCAGAAATGGCTGGTATCTGGCGGAACTGCTGAGACACCTGCCGCCGGAGAGTCCGGTCTGCCTGATTGGCCACAGTCACGGTACGCGAGTCGTCGCATCGGCACTGCATCTCATGGGAGGCGGTCAGGTTCAGGGAGTCAGCCATCCTTACTCACGACCCAACGGCCGACACATCCGCACGGTGTTTGCCGCCGCTGCGATTCGCCATGACTGGCTGAATCCAGGAGAACGCTACGGTCGTGCTTTGTGCTCAACCGAATGCCTGATCAACCTGAAGAACCGCCACGATGCCGCACTTTGCCTGTACCCGCTGAGGCATCCGTTCTCCGGACACGCCCTCGGCAAGAGAGGATTCAGTTCGCGTGATCGCAGGGATCTGCGGGGGTGGTCGCACAAGGTCCAGGATTATGACGTGACCCGCTGCATCGGCCACCATCACATGTGGCCGCAGTATCTTCGTTATTCCAGCCTGGCCTGGCTGATCCGCAATTACGTCTTCTTCCCGGAACTGATGACGTCTCCATCGATGTCGACTGCCCGGCAGCCATCGGCGGTCCCCGCGGAACCCGAGGACGACGAATCTTACAGCTCGCTCGAGCCTTCGACCGAGCGTTCTCCCGGAGAACTTTCGCTGCCGTCGATCTGAGGCAACTCCATGCGGCTGGAGTCCGGCAGGGACGGATGCTGATCCCAGGCACCACGGCTGTCGTGCTCCATCGTCCCATAGTGACCACTGTTCGGCATCACTGGCGCACCGTAATGAGGCGCATACCCGGGCAGCGCGGGCTGTGAGTACGTCGGAGCAAGCACCGTTCCCGCAGGAACAGGCACCGACGGTACGGTGGCGTAGATCGGACCACGCCAGCCGGGCGGGTAGTTCACGTACGTCGCAGAACCACTGGGCATCCACTGCACCGACCGTCCGCCTCCCCAGCCAGCCCGGGACTGATAGTCCACAATCACCGGAAAACGCGACTGTCGATGACGAGGACCCATCATGCGACGCCCACGAGGACCAGCCGCCATGGCGGATGATGTGCAAAGCACCAGAACCATCAACAGACACAGAGCATTTTTGATTTTCATAGTTTCACCACAGGTCATTCCAGACTAGTGAAGGGCGACAGCCGGCTCGGCGTCCGCCAGCTGCATCAGCCGCAGGCACAACCCGGCAATCGCCATCTGAATTTCCATCCGTCGGTATTCCGCACTCAACACAGCCGCCTCAACGGCAAGGTCGCGGATTGCCTCTTCTTCCGCCGCACCCCGCAGCGGTGACTGCTGGAGCTCTCGCAGCTGAACCTCAGCCAGTTCCTGCCGCACTGCGATCAGATCCAGATCTGCCTGTCGCCTGGCAGCCAGCGTAAAGAGATTCGTGCGTTCCGCTCTGACGAAGTCTGCATCGGTATCTTTGCCGGTTTCCAGCCGATAAAGCGCCATCGCGTAGCGAACGGCTGCACGACGGCGTTCCAGTTCCGCTGCCAGCTGCTGCTCCATCGCTTCCGCGATCTGCATCTGCCCCTGCATACTCAACGATGTCGCTGAATTCGCGGCATTGGCAGTTTCAGTTTCGGGGTTTCCACCGGTTTCCGTCTGCATCGCCTCCAGATCTTCCTGCACCACGGTCAACTCCTGCCGAACCGAATCCCAGGAGTCTTTTGTCATCCTCATCAGCAGCGCCAGCCGGCCGGCCGCGGGAAGTCTGACTTCGGCAGTATCAGTTGCTGAAGCTGTCGCGACACCAACCAGCTGCAGTTCACGCTCCAGATTCTGTGTCATCGCGGACAGGCGAGCCGCCTGCAGATCATCAGCCACCTGGCCCTGCCGCTCAGCAGGCTGAGCAGTCTGGCCCTGCAGCTCAGCGGGCTGAGCAGTCTGGCCCTGTCGAGTCGCCAGGCTGTGATCCAGCTGTCCCATCAGCAAACGCCGACTCTCCAGCACCCACGCTCGCGCCACCTGTGACCAGTCAGTTGTTTTATCTGCAGTTTCTGTCTCATCGATCAGTACCGCACAGCGCCGCACCGGACTCAGCAGAGCCTCCTCAAATGCCATCGGGGCAAACAGAGCGGCCGACTGCTGCAGCTGAAGAACATCCCGAGTTAGCTGCCGTTGAACCGTCGCTGCGGGTCTCACAACCGGATCCTGAAGACGTTCCCGCAGAGCCCGCTGCCGCACGCGATGGCCCGATGTCTGCTCCTGCTCTGTGAGCAGCGCGTCGATCTCGTTGAGGATTTTTGTCGCTTCGGGGCTTTGCGGCATGGAGACAGCTGAGAACGTGTCATCGACAAAAGCCAGAGGCAGTCCGGGAACGCGCAGCTGAACCACCACGGAATCACTGAACGTGCCCGTCTGAATCCCACTGAGAAACTCGCGCTGCCGGCGAAGCGCATGAGCCCATCGGGCAGCCTGATCGGCCGCCGCACTCATCTGCTGCCGCTCTGCTGCCGAGATCCCGGAGTTGGTCGGAAGCTGCTGCAAAGACTCCTGTTCCAGACGCCGAAGTTTCAGCTCAGCGTTCACCGCAGACAGCTGCTCATCCAGCAGCCGTTCCCAGGCAGAGACAAAACGGTGATCGCGATCCTCTTCGGCCCCAGTCGCGACCGGAAGAAGAGACAATGTCAGCAGAAGCATCAGCGCGGTGCGAGTCATAGTGCTGCTTTGGAACCACAGGAAACGTTGATGACGAAGGACGCCGTTTCCTTTTGAGCAATTCGGGTTCCAATTCAGTTTCGACCGTCATTCCTGCAGTCCAGCAGACATCGCAGGAAACGGATGTTGCCGAAACGCATCAAACGTCGTTCGCCGGCATCAGTCAGGCGCGCCGGGCACCGCGCCGAGACCATCATTCTTTACATTCTGCAAAGATCTGCTCATAGATCTTTCGGGCCTGGTCGTAGGCCTCGCGTGCCGCTTCACGCTCGCTCTCGCGAATCCGGTTTTCCTTCGACTCCCAGCACGTGTCGACCGCCTTGATACACCATTCTGCACTGCGACGGCTGGATCGAATGGGCTTCCCATCCACATGCACGAAAATCGGATTGGTGTGGCAGGAGGCCAGGATGCGGACGGCAACCCACGACGACTGCGTTACTTCGATGGGCACCTGAAATGTCTCCATGTGGCCGTCGGCGACGAGTTCGCGCGTCGCCGCCACTTCACCATTCACAATGATCTCCACAGGCACGGTGCGGGAATCTTCAACACGTGCCCGTTCCAGGTGCCAGTACGGTTTTTCGTCCAGCCGCCGTTCACGAATTGCGATGGCTTTCTTGCCAGGTGTTTCGTCCAGCATCGCCGCCGCATTGAAACTCACCTGAACGGTCTGCGGCCCGCTGACATCCAGCCGACTGACAGACTCCGCCGCCCCCGCTTCACCGACACCCTGTTCATTGACTTTGAAGTCCAGCAAATGGCTGAGCCCGTCTCCACAGTAGCTCCGGCCATCACGCAGACCGGCCACCCAGGATTCGTACTGCAGGTCTTCATCATCCAGCTTCACATAAATCCGTCCCAGACCAACGCGTTCTCCGTAGATGCAGGGGAAGTCGGTTTCTCCACTGATCCGACTGGTCATTCCACAGTTGAGTGTGTGGTACCAGACGTTCAGTTCCCAGATGACAGGAGTATCGACTGCCGAAATGAAGTCACAAACACCCAGCGCTGTTGTCACGATGTACTCATTGGCTCCGATGCCGTCGAACTTTGGCATGGCATAGTCCGGCAGCGTGTCCGCACATTTGCCCTTCCAGTCGGCCGGAGCGCCGCCCCAGTTTTTTCCAGGAAACGCCCGCTCGCCATTGGGCATGATATCGGGCAGGGCCAGACCCCAGCCGCTGTGGCTGTAACCCGCAACACCGCCCTGATCTTTGGTCCACTTCAGAACCGGATAGGTCCAGCTCGGCCATTCCTCCAGA